CGCAAATCATTGATGAAGTTAGAACTCTCCTTTTTTCCTCCATAGACATGGTCTATTCTATACTACATATGTTGAGATGGAACAATTTTACGTAGTTTTGAACCTCTTTCCAATCGAAAGAGCACCATCTCAGTTAACGCCCACTTTCACAAGCTGTAGTGGTCTTTCTATAGTGGCAATTAAATCAGAATTTTTAAAAATGTGGCCGTGCAATAAACGTTTGGTAAAGAATAATATTTTCAGAGGCATTTCTGGCAATTTCAGGGCATCAAGATTTCAAACTTTCTTCGGGGGGCATGCCCCCAGACGCCTTAGTGTGCTCACTTTTACGGGTCCGGACACCTATTTTCCCTCCCTATTTCGTCTTCAGAGTAAGATCGAGGACCATGGTAGACTGTCTCTAAGAATCTCGTCTTAATTCTCTCTCCCAATGTGATGATAGTCCCTACACCAGAGCCTGAGTGAACTTAGAAACGAAATACTTCAAATCAAGTGTAGTTTTTCTGAGTTTTCTCTGTTACTGGTACCTCAAACACAAGTGATGTTTATTTACTACTTTACTTTTACTTCCTAATTTTCTTTTCCACGTAGTTAGTTAAGATAAAATGACATGTGTCCCCGGCTACGTTAGCCAAAAAGATTTTCGGAGGGAGAGAAGTGACGACCGGAAATACGTCTGCTGTCCGCAGGCTACGGCTATGAACGGCTATGTCCGTTGAATAGCCTCAGTTCCAGGCTCCAAGAGAAGAGACCGTGAAAATTGATGCGAAAAAACGCGCATGGGCTGGGAAGAGAGGATGCTAGTCTCTTAAAACTTCGTTGAATCGTTTCAACATTCCGACTTCAATGACATGCAAATTAAAACATAGTCACTAGAGGAGACTGGTTAGGAAAGCCGTCAAACATCAAAGTTGAAAACTATGGCGCTGAAGGTTACGTTGGAGCTCCTGACCGTGAACAATCCTTTGATTTTTGTTCACAAATTGTGACTGAATAAATTAATGCAATGTTTCTATTGGTCATTAAGTTCAAAATGATAGGAATGCTATTGAACGTTGTGCACGGTCAGGTCCAAAAAAGCTAACAAAAACATAGAACAAAGGCTTAACCCAACCATTCCACTTTAATTAACTATGATTAAAATGACCTAAAATGTCCATTAGTCCTTTACTCACGTATGTTTACTACCTATACGATACATGCGACAAAATCTTTTTAAAATAGTACGAAAACTGGTACATTATGAAAGCCTGAGGTGATTTAAAGTTTTAAAATTTAAAATCTTTTGATTATTATTAAAGGGACAGGTTCACGGTTAAGCGCATGCTCATTTATTAAATTACTTCTTTCCAATTTATTATTAATTCTATCATTGGTTAATAATCCCACTCACATGTATCACAGCGATCTCAGAGTGTATTTCAAAGTAGAATTGTATTCAGAGTAACCTGAAGTAGGATGGAGGAGTACTAAAATCGCAGAAAAAATTAGTGGATTATGCCAACACTACCAGCGTCTTTTTTTTTATTATTATTATTCTCTTTCAATCTCTATCAACACTTTCACAAACATGAAAAAAAAATTACGATACTTTACAATAAATTGCAGTACATTGTATTACAGTCTTGCTACAAAAGTACAATAAAATGCGAGTCTAATGTTGAGTATAACCTTACTAGTTGAATTTAGATATAGCTAGCAAACAAACTTCTTCTCAATTAAAGGTTTCCATTTATTATAATAATATTCAAGTGAGTTAACGCTTACTGCGATTTGTTTTTCTATCTCAGCTTTGTTTACCACTATAGTTAGAAGAACACTTAATAACAAAGGCTCTTCTGTGATACTGCAGCAGTAGATGTAATCATTTCGCAAGTAGTAAGAGATGATTAGTTAACTTATTGAGGTGATTGTTACCAATCACACCATACAAGATATTAACACTACCAACGTTGAATTTATTGTTGACGCGAAGGTTTTATCCCATGGTTGATTAATTTACAGCTATTTGCAAATATGTAAGTTGATTAAGTGCAAGTGGCTGTCAGGGGAGTGTGCAGATTGGTTCTTTGACAACATTATGACATGATCCTATTGCTTGCATAGACGATGATACAGCATGTCCCGGCAGAAAAAACAGCATTTTGATAAATGAGTATGCGCTGAAGTGAACCTGTCCCTTTAATGACTTGTGTCAAGTCTACCCAACGCAATGCAATACAACGCGTGAAAATGCAAGAAATATGCCTTTTTTTGCCTGAAATATTAAACACCTTGAAATGAAATAAAAAGTATAAATTTGATGTAAGCCTTGCATCTGAATAATAAAGCTATCAAGATTTTATCCTTAGACTCGACTTGATTTCGAATCATCGAACTGCATCGTCGAGCTAACCGATGGCAGAATAACCTCGAACTAGTCTATTCTAGTGACTTGACAATAAGCTTTTCCTTGGCAATATTTAAATTACAAGTTGTATGTACCTTAAACGGGGCAGAAGGTATGCAAAATAAAATCTTCTTGCGAAGTAATTCCGCGGCCTTGTCGGTCTCAGGAAGCTACGTTGGTCATGTGACAACCAATTTTATCTTTGCTGCGGTTCGTGCCGTAATCCTGCCGTCAGCCCCGGAGGGTTAATCAACAATATTTTTTAAAACTTCTTTGTATCGTTTCAACATTCCGACTTGAATGAGATGCAAATTAAAATGGCCTAAAAAGTCCATCAGGCCTTTACTCACATATTTTTGCTGCCTATTCGATACACACGACAAAAATCGTTTTATAATAGTGCGGAAAAAAGCCTAAGTCTTTCAGGGTAGTCGGTCGGCCACAAGCACATTTCTGACTTAAAGTCTATTGCAGTTATTAATAACTTGACGAACTGGGAACCTCTCGTGTCACTTACTATCCATCGCCGCGATACAATGTAACGCGTAAAAACGCAAGAAATATGCCATTTTTGCTTAAAATAGCGCCTTGAAATGAGAAAAAGCATATATTTGACGTTAAGCCTACATTTAAATGATAAATCAATAAGATTTCGAAACAAATAATCGAACTGTATCATAGAGCTATGCGATGGCAGAAAAAGAGCGTCAATAAGCTTAAATTAGTCTTTTGGAATTAGTCTATTCTACTGCCTTTTAATACAATAAGCTTGTCCTTGGCAATATTTAAAATAGAAACTGTACGTACCTTAAATGAGGCCATGATATAGCATGAACCAGGAAACCTTGTAGCAAATGTAGTTCCGGCTTGTCAGTCGGAAAGCCACGTTGGTCATGTGACAACCAATTTTTACCTTTACTGGGGTTATCAGTTCATGCCGTCAGCCCTTGTGGGGGGTGGGGGAGAGAGTAGTCAACAAACGTTTTTACGGAAAGGTTCATCCTGGAGGTCCGGCCTTTTATACAGTCGACCCTCCACTATACAATAGTCACTTTTTTGGCTGACAGTCTATACATTTACGCTTGTTTAAGCCTCTCTGAAACGGCTACTTTCTTCTGTCCTCAAGGTGGAGAAGTTCAACTGTACACCATTTTTGACTAAAAAAATACCCATTCTGTATACCGTCCATTGAAAAATGTTGCCATTTAAACATACCAATTAATAAGAATAAAACAGAAAGTCGTTTTCGTATAACGTGAAATAAATGACAATGATGTAGCCATCCATAAGGAACCGCTTTTCGAGGCATTTTATTATGACCTTTCAAATACTTAAAGACTTTGCTACCCTTTCATACACCTCAACTCGTGAATTCCTTACCCTTTGATATCCCTGAAGGGCGACGCCCCACGTACCTCCCGGGGGCGTCAGCCTTCTGACTTGTAAAAAAGGTAACTTACTATATATTCCAACAGGAATGCATCGCAAAAAGCGCTTCGCAATCTTTTTTATAGCTATAGGAAAGCAGCTTTAACTTGTAACAGGGGCACCCAACGAAATTTTCAGAAAATATCTGTTCGGAAGACGATTCGAGATTTAGAATTTTCGGAACATTTGTTGTAAAATTTCTTGCTTGCCTGCCTCTCCTAGGATTTTCGAACATCTAAAAAATGGTATAATTGCCCATTTTTAACGGATTTTTACCCTTAAAAGGTCACCTAGAATTTTCGGGAGCCTTTTTTCTGGCTGAAATTTTCGAAAAGTTAAGTTTTGATCCCTATAGTTTTCGCATCACTAGACTTTCAGCTGCGAAATCCGAACAGATGAAAAGTTTTTAGGGGATAAAAATATGCCTATATCTATCGTTTAAATACTAAGATACGGTTAACAATGCTATGTTTTAAGTGGTTTTGCACTATATTCTCGTTGGGTGCCCCTGTTGTAATCAAAGAAAAATTTAGATTGGACACTTCAAATAGCGCCTTTATGACGAAACATCAGGGATCTTTGAGGCATATTACTTAAGTGCACTTTCCACCATAAACAAGCCTTTAAGCCTTTTTGCAAATAGCCTGTTACCCTCTGTCGCCTTAAGCTAAAAACATGCATTTACTGTTACAAGTTTTAGCGTGGGAGGATAGGAGATCCGCTCTGTCTTCAAACTTCCATCTTAGGGAAATTATTCAAGTTCTTTCTGTCAATAGTACATGTACCTCAGCTCCTATAACCGCCATTTGTTATTTTTTCTGATTACTATCTGCCCAGAAAGAGCCAAAACTGCCCAAAATGTTAAACTTGAAACTTGATCTGAATGGCAACATGATTATTGCACTAATCTCTTGACAGATTATTATTTCATTAATAGAAATTGTCGAGACTTTGATTTCATTGGAAATAGCCAAAGAGAGTCTCGGTTTTAAAAAAATGGATTGACTTAACTTTGGCAGCATGTAACAAAAAGTGACTGTAACCCAAACAAAGCATAATTATTTTAACTTTACCTTTTCAAGTAGGCCTTGTAGCTCTCCCACCTCCTTTTCAAGTCGAGCTCTTTCAGTTTCCAGTTCATTCCTCTCAACTGCTGATCCAGTTTCCATGTTAGTCTTTTTTATTACATCTTTCTATACTTGGAGGCAGCTTCAGCAAGTGGTAAACACAAGTGACCAAAGTGTTCAAGAGCGACGCATTCCCTACAAACTGCATGACCACATTTCTCATCAAAAAACCGGAATTTATCATTGTGTTTTTGGCATATGAAGGATACAGAAGTGAGCTGAGGGTTTGCTTCTAGCTCCTCAAGGGAAACAACTTGATGATCGCGACTTGCCTTGTTGCGAGTATGAAACTGAGCTGCAGCTTTGCACATGTTTTCTTTACAGTCAAGGCAGCATTGCTTTGGTCATTGTAATGTTCAAAGCAGATTGGACACTGGTATCTTTGATGTCATTGCCTAAAATGAATAAATAACCAATAATTTCCACAAATGAATGAAAAAGTAAGTTTTATTGAAAACTAAAATAAAAAGAAAAAAGGATCTCGCTAATTCAGTATGTTTTAGTCAACTCAGTGTCTTCACTTTCATTGCTTTCATCGGCATAACTGTTCAGTTGCTGGTACTCCTCCTCCCCCCCCACCCCTGGTATAATTTGGAGGATCCTTTCTATTACTAGTTGGACAATGTTATTGAAAGATGAGATAGAGGAAAGGACATAAAGAAGATATATGAAGAACAACAATGGACTGAAGAACATGAAGCAAATATGAGAATTCTTAGAAAACAGATGCAGCTGTTCAAATTTGATCTAAAGCTGCATATTTTATAAAACTAATAAACACATTCTTTAACCCTACTGATAGTTTTACATCAAATGTAAAACTCAGTCAGTCAAAGTAACTATGACAAAGCTTGGTACCTCTAAGTAAGCCCCTATACACAACATTATACCCCAGAAGGCTAGAAGTAAGAACTAAGATTAGCGTACCCTAAGAGTACCCATAGCTGATTCATAAGTGTACTAGTCCTGTTTTATATTGAATACGCAAGTGGCTGCTTTATGCAATTGGGCTTGACACTTTTGCCATGGTCTCTTAAACCATAGTCTCTTTTTCATATGACATGCAGAAGCCCTGCTGAACAATTTCAAAGGGAAAGATTGAGACTGTATAGAGTAAAGTGACGTGAGATTATAGTTAGGCATGTTTCAAGCACATATTTTTGCTTCCAATGCAATGTCGAGTCCAGAAAATATCCAAACCCCCTCAGAGGGTAAAAAATTTTGAGGGGAGGGGAGTCCAAAAGGAGGCAATTTCCGGGGGGAGTGTGGGGTGGCTTCTCAAGGTCTTGTTTTTGGAGACCGCGAGTAAGATTGGTGAGTTATAAAAAACTAGCAGCTGCTCTGCTATTGTTTTCATTGATGATCTTTTATTTAGGGTTGGCAGAATGCTTTTTCCGCAGCTTATGAGATAGATAGTTGTAATTGGCTTATGAATAAAACTTCCAGTTTAATCTAACTGTTGCTGCAGAACACAATATAAGCAAAATTATATTAGTATTCATTTTAATTTGGTCCTGCTCTAAGCCTTCTTCAAACAGGTTTTAGCTGCAAGAAAGTAATTATTGAAGTCCACTTGGTGTTTAGTGTGAAAATGATTTTTTCTCTCTTTATTGCAGAAACAATAACTTTTGCATTATAGACAAGTGTAAAAGCATTTTTGATGGAAACATTCTTTCCGGGGGTGCCTAACCAAGTTGGAAAATTTAAGGGAATCTCAGGGGGTTGGGGGGTCTGACAAGCAGCCCTTGGAATGGAAATTCCTGGGAGGGGGACGGGGGAGGGGACGGGGGCGGTGGGGAGTCCAAAGCAAGATTGCTCAGGACATTCAGTCGGGTGGAAGCACTTTGACTTAAGTTGATAACACCAAATGAAATAATTGAAAGAGAGGAATGCAAGAATGATAAAGCAATAAGAGTTCATCCACAGATTGAACTTGATAATCAACAATTTTCCAAACAAAATGTGACGACTTGCGTACGTAGGTAAACAGCATCACCGAGGTAAGCGATAGGAGAATAAGCGTGAATTAGTCTATTCCATTGCCTAACAATAAGCTGTACCTTGCAATATTTTAATTAAAGAAGTTGTACGTACCTTAACTGACGCAAAAGGATCAATAAAGCAAGTGCGTTGACCATCACTGCCATCACAATCAGTCTCTCCACTGATGTTCCCGCTGTGAACTATTTTGGTCACGTGATGATGTGACATTGCTTTTGCAGGGGAGGGGAGGGGAGGGGAGGTCCAGAAAAAAAAAAAAAAAATTTTCGCGCTGGTCACTCTAAAAACTTGACAGAAGCCGGACGTCTCTGGCACCCAGGGTAACCTTGTTGCTTCCTTTTAAGTTAAAAAACAGGAGCAGGAACACCAACAACACTCCCACCCAGCCATGAAACTTTTCGGAAGTTTCACTCCCCATAGCCTCGTCTCCATTATCTTTACCTGTACTTGGTTATCAACTCATCAGTGTGCCCGCTTCTCGCACTCAAGTCATCCCCTTCTAATTAAATTCTGCATGTTGCATGCCGCGTTAAAAATGACGCCACTTTTAGCCTTTCGACAAAACTTTAATTTTCCTTAATAAGAGACAAAGCCACACATACGGTGTCGTGCGCACTGTGCGCATTACCTAAGTACAGAGGTTTATTAGCCTTTGTATCACGTGGACTGATTAAGCCCGGCCAGGTCAAATAATATTTTACGAGGAGGCTCCCTTTCATATATACCGTTTTCGACAGAAAAGTATTTTTTCCTTTACCAGTGATTGACAAGTGGTACCGCTTTCACATACCTTTCAACTGCTGGCGATGCACCCTCTCTAAAATATGAACAAATCACAAAACCAGAACGAGAGTAGTCACAACGTTTTCTTGAGTTTTTCATAAAAAATAAGTAGTAAAGTAAAATGTATCTGTTAGCCCTTTTTGGACCTTTTCACAGACCAAAGTAACAGATTTTCCCATGGCCTTTGATATACTTCAACTCAGGAGTAAATTCGGCGGATTCTTACACGTGCATATACCGACGTTTATCTAATGAACTAACCTATCAACTAACTCTTTTATCCTAAGCTAAAGAGGCCTTAATCACAAACCTAATGATATCTTTATATTTAACAAAGAAAAGAAGTGAAAATGCTACCCTTGGATCTAAATATCTCAGCATTTTGGATGATAAAAGCCTATAAACATAATAATTATTCAGATTGATGGTAACCCAATTGGCTCATGCATGTTAGGTTGCATCATTTTGTAGCGCGGCAACACTTGTTTTTTTAACTTATCTATCACTAGATGAGAAGTATATTGTAAGATTATTTAGAAGTCTTGGATAGTTGATCATTGACTGCGATTTGGATTGAGCTGGATTTTTAGAAGCCGATATCTTGTATTAACTTATATATTTTCAATACGGGCATTATCATGCTACAAAAACTTTGAAAAAATTCGTTTAGCTATAGTTATAAATCTTAATATTGTGTTGCAATAATTAATTTTTAAGTAAAAGTGTCCCCGATTAGTGGGTCTCCTTAGGCAATAGAAGACTCCGACACTTAAATAAAGTTTGTATGTATCTATATGTACTAATTTATCGTTATAGTCACATATTGAGTTGCTCGGCTTCAAAGTCACTACATAAAAGAGTTCTTCGGATACTCTATCTCCTGGGTATACGTGATCATGCAACAGAGAGTTTAAACGTCAGATTCAAGTTGAGAATTCCTCAAAATAGAAAATGGAAAAGCAGATGGAAACAGATAAAAACAATTCTAATGGACAAAAAATTGCGTGAAAGTGCTAACTTAAGTGTAGAAATAATGTACAGTAAACGAAAAAACTTGGTCACGTGTAAAAATTCGCGTTTTCCGTTTGACGTAAACTTGATGCTTAACCTCTCTAATACTAAATTGACGCCAACGTTTTACCCTAGAGCTTTGTATATATCTTAAACAATATTTAATCTTATACACGATGTACACAACTACAATGTAGTTTAACATTCTAAATCTATTCCAAAAAAACAAGCAGTTCTCACTCTTACATCATAATGCTACATAAGAGCATCTACTTTAGGAAGTTTATATGGTAACAGATCTGAACTCAAATTGTATAAACTGTCTTTCTCCCGCTTTGGGGCTTAAAGCTGTGGAAGTGGATGCCTTGCAATGTCTGCCATCTTTTAAAGAATAGATTAAAAACCTAGATTTCTTGATGTTTTGAACACACTGGAAGATCATTATATTGATACGCCCATCCAAATTAAAAAAGCAAAATCAGTCAAACACTATGAGTCCTAAATTCTACGTTGCTGTTGCTTAATATTCGGTTCCTACGCTTACAGTAATTTGTACTTCTTTCTTCGCTGTTATTGGTTTTCTTGTTGTTACAATTACAGCTGCATGGCCATTTTCACGATGACGTCTTTGACTACTACGACCAGAATCCTTAGATGGTTTGCTTCTTTGTGCAAATTTGAGCTTTTGTTATTTAAACCTCTTCGGGATTACCTAATTCAAAAATGAAAGGAAAAACTATAAGGATTGTGGTGGTTTTTTTTCATTGGTTTTTTAATAGTATCAAATTTGTCTAAAATTAACTGAAAGCTAAAAGCGAAATGTTTAAAGTTGACATTTGAAGCACTATCATACAATTTCCAGGTCATATTTTTTCAAAAATAATAATTTATTCTGCATGTGTTGCCCAAAGCCGTTGCGGAATATTTTTAAAGTACTCAAACCGCACAAGAATAGAAAATCTTTTCTCAAAGTGTAAGTTGCACCACTTGAATCAACACTTTCACGACTCGAACAAGGGGCTGGTAGTTTGTGCCGCCTTTTTTAAAAGTCTTAACAGACTCGTTTCCAGATTCCTCTCTCTACGAACATTTACAAGCCGGCAAAGGATTAGAAAAAGATGGCAGGAAGGAGAACAAAGCGAGCGAGACCTCGTCTTTCCTTTTCCCGTGGTCGCTTCCTCGCACTTAGTCAAAAAGGAGTGTTATTTCGCACGGCCTTGTTACCCGATTTTTTTATTATCTCAGCGTTTATAGCAAAAGGGCTGCCTCTAATGTGTGCACCTCGCAAGCACACGGACAATGTCAAACTACCATACCACCTGTCGAGGGGGATAGTATATTCTGCCAAGTAAGTTCCATCCTTTTGGTCGTTCAAATCTACCTTTATTTCGTCTCCTCGTACATCTGACTTCAGTTTCACCTCATAAACGTCGCCGCCTAGCTTGCGTTGGCAATTTTGGCTGTCGTAAGAAATAATAGTGAATGTCGCCTTCATTCCAGGGTTTGCAGTTCTTGTTCCGAGGCCAGTTGCAGTAGTCCTTGCCGCACATGTTGATACGTCACTGATGTCGCCTGCGCTCTGAATAAGCACCTCTATACTCTTGTTGGAACCACCGTGACGCATGAAGTTAGACTGAGAGAGATCGTTGCAGTGAGTTTGCCTATTTTTCATTCTTTACAACTTTAATTTTCACAATTTTGAAAAACTCATTTAATAACACTCGATTTCCTTCGCTCTTTCGCTTTCTTAGCAGTTTTACTTAACATAACTGACTGATTTGTGACAACCACATTTAAGACAACTGTTGGATAAGTTCGTAAAGAAATATATTTGTGAAGTGAGAGAATAAGCAGTGACGTGTGTGTGTACTACGGTAGACTCCCAATAACATGAACCTTCGAGGGAGATCGAAAAAAGTTCGACTTATCAGGAGTTTGAGTCAATTTCCGGAGCGGGAGTAAGAAAAATAACCCAGTTTTTATTGTAAATTGAACATTAAAACTACATTTAATTGTAGAAAATTCAGGTGAAAATGGACCGATGCTTCTAGATCTGATAAATCCGAATCATTCTTACCTTTCTGCTTTTCTTTTCCTCCTTACTGTTGTCCTTAGTGAACTCCGGCAAAAACTGGGCCTCTGGCTCAAGCACCATAGAGTAGCTTTCTTTGGTTTCGAGTGTAGACACTATAGCCTGCCTGCTGAGAAGGAATTCAACATCGCTAGGAGATTGGATGGAGGTCTTTGCTCGTTGAAGTGCATTCTCTAAACATGCTTGGTTTTGTTGCAAACGGTCTCGCTGGCCCATGAGAATGGATACCTTGTGATGATATAGACCCACCAACCTAGCAATCAGAACTTCCTCGCGGTTATTTAACGCAGAATGAAGCTATAAACATACAAAAGAAAAGACACACTGCATGTGTAATATCCGCAGACCTATTCCAAACAAACAATCTAGATAAAAAAAAACTGTGGATACGTCCGCGTCTTGACGTTATGCGAACCTGCGTGCAAGCCGGAAGTATTAGGAAATAGGAGACGTCTGCACTCAGTACCTTATCATAAGCGTACGTGGTACTCAGGCGTGGTACCAGTATCCTCCAACGCAGACGTTCTTTAATAGCCGAGCTGCTTAGGACTTCGTCATGCGCATAACTTCTGCGTGGGAGGCTAGCTACGAAGTGCGTTTACTGAAATACGTTCAATGGTTTCAATAATCATGTCAGTGCAGCTTTTTTATCATTTATACAATATACGTAGTATTAGTGGGGAGAAACAGCAAAAAACTTCGACGAGAGAAGCGAGCCGAGCGGTTGACTACCGATCGTTTTTGTGCCGTAGCGGCACCCCGACACCTAACATAAGCTAAGCTTTGGCATGTGTTATTTTACTTGGTTAATTCTTTAAGAAAGCACTTCAGTAAGACTTATTTATTTAGGGAAGCGTTTTAAGATATTTTGTTGTTTTTTATATTTTTTATCTCACTGATAACCTGTAAATATTTTTAATACGAACACAAATTTTTCCCTGATATTTTAATACGTTAAAGAATACGTATATAAATATTAGCGTTATATAAGTTAATAAATATCATTATCGTTATTATTCTTATTATCATTAAGTATTAACAAATCACTGGTTTTTGCATGCCACGTTCAGAACATGAAGTTTTGTTTCTTGATGTAACTGGCAGCATAAAACAAAAATGCTAAACGAAATTCGTAAGTAATTAAAAATTGATTAATGTTTCGCTTCCCTCTCGATCTTTCGATATAATGATAAAAAGAGATGCCTTACTTCTTTAAAAAAGCCTTTTATTTCAGCATGCCGTTCTTTGTAAGCTTTCTCCATGAAAACAACTTCTTTCATCACTTGAGCTTCAGCAACTTTAATCTTTTCGACTTGAGTGCTGGCTTTGGTGACAAGCTCCTCCATTTCCTGTCGGTACTTTGAAGCAGCTTCATCCAGAGCTAAACTCTTGTGCCTGCTATGATTAAGGGCGTAACAGTCTCTACAAATAACACGGCCACAATTTTCGTCAAAAAAACGGAATTGATCGTTATGTTCTGGACAAAGAACAGATACAGAAGTCAACCGAGGGTTTGCTTTCAGCTCCTCAAGGGAAACAACCCGATGATCACGACTTGCCTTGTTGCGAGTATGAAACTGAGCCGCAGTTTTGCACATGTTTTCCCTGCAGTCAAGGCAACAGAAAGTAGAAGGGTGCTTCTCATCACAAGCTTCACATTCGTACGAGCCTAGTGGATGTCCTATATTTCCAGCATGTTCATTGGGTGTTTCGTTCACTATTTCCAATAATGCAAAATTCCTTGGCATTCCCGCGACGCCGGTAGGAACTCCGACTGGTTTTCTGCATGTGGGACAATGAATGCTGTTACGATGGAGTAGTCTCTCCAGGCAAATCTGGCAAAAGCTGTGTCCACAAGGCAGTATCCGAGGACATTTGCTTTGGTCATTGTAACCTTCAAGACAGATTGAACACTCCGGTCCCTTGACCGCCATTCTCTACAATAGATAAAAAAAAGTTTTTCACTAATGAATAAAAAGGTAAGTTTTAAAGCAATAATAGACTGCAAAACATTTTTCACGTGCGTACGCGCGCAAAACTTACGTTGGCAAATAAAATAGAGGCAACGCATGAAAGGTCGCTAGTAAGCGTAAAAGTTGAACGTCCCTCAACTTCTCTTTTAAGCTCGGCACTTTTTATCTTGCCTCTATTTTACGTGATTAAAATGTACCTGCGTTAACGTGCGTAGCCAAAATCGCGTCAGTGGAAGTCAACCTTAAGAGTCTCACACTCGCGAGGCAGTCTCTCTCCCCGTTTTCAGCTTCGATTCAGAACTTTTGTTTGACTGCTCGCGCGTAATTGAATACGCAAAAATACGTACGGACTGTTTGCAGTCTAAAGCGATAAAAAAATAAATGAGAATGAAAAAAAATTGTTAATAAATTCGGCACGTTTTTACCGTTTCATTTCATTGCTGTCTAAGCTGCTTAGATTGGAAGTTCCCAGCAAGCATTAATTCCCTTGAAGAATAGATATTGTGAGGAACAGATTAACTGGTTGCCCCATGTAAAGCTGCAGCAGGATCCATGATCGGGGAACGTAGTTGTTTAAAAAAAATCAGTAGTTTAATACCAGTGTAGACGTTACTGAAAAATAATGTTTGAACGTCTGATGCTGAGTGTTTCAAAATAATGTTACCAAACACGTCCTTCCGATAGTTGATTATTGATATTTACGATTATGATCCGAGTGCCTTCCCTTTCTATATAACAAGACTGTAAAAGTGTTCTAAATTTACACCGACTTACCGACAGTCCACTTATAAAACAGGGATGTGATATTAATAAAGTACTGAAAGTAGCTATGGCAGAGTTGTAATGTGCCCACACACTTACACACACTACATTATTATTAACAAATCTACATTTACATAAAGTCTATTTCCGCCCGCAAATAGCAGGTGCTAGTCGAGGTAGGCGGAATAAAATAAATAAATAGATATATATAAACAAGTGAAATAAAGCTTAAACATAAATTAATACGATTTACAAAATCAACTACTTGAAACTCGTAAAATTAACTGCGACCCTAAATTGAGATTTGTATACTTGATAAACTAAACTCTGTATTTGCTCGATAGTTAGCTATTTTTTGAAGCAGAATGGGCGGTTCAACATAATCGTCCTCGGCCTCTAATGACGAAAATAACATTTCATTGAGATGTTTTTTGAAAGCTCTCTTGGGGAGTTGACGAAGTTCATCGCAAATGGAGTTCCAAAGCTTAGCTCCGAACTTAGCAAAGGAACCATGGTTTTGATTCAGTCTCGATCGGTTAATATAAAAATTGCAGGAGGAGGAGAACCTGGTCTCGTGATTATGCTTTTCACTTGCTTGAATGAAAAGATTACTAATTTTAGTGGGAACAGTTAGACATGAGACGTCGAACATTATTGAGGAAACTGTTTCAACTTATAACATGTCTAAAGAAAGGATTTTTGAGGAGGTAAATAAAGGCACCGCATGTGCTCTGGGTTCAGAAAAATACATTAACCGACGGACACGTTTTTGTAACACGATAATTTTTTTAAAAATGGGATTTAGCAGCTTGACCCCAAGCAGCCAAGCCATAGGATAGATAGAGTAGTATCAAACACCGATAAATACTTAATAGAGTGGTAAAAGGGACGAGGTGCAGAAGACGGGCAATAACTCCAATAATTCTACTTATTTTTAGTGCTACATTGTCAATGTGGTATTTCCAGCTCAAATGACTATCTAGTAAGACACCTAGATATTTTACATGATCCTTACACTCAAGGGAAGTAAGAATGTGATAACTATTATCAAACATTGGAATATTGACCGAATGGTCCATCTTACGTTGGTGAGGACGAAGGATAACAAAGTTTGATTTTTTAGCATTTAATGTTAGCTTATTTGCATTCAGCCAATCCGAGACTCTGACCAGTTCGTTATTGACCGTTTTTTCAAGAGATTTAAGATTTTTGTCGGCATACAACAAGTTTGTGTCATTTGCAAAAAGGTAAGACAAAAATTTCGCTGAAGTAAGTAATAAGTTAGTAATAACAAAGGACCAAGAACAGAGCCTTGTGACACACCTCATGAGATCTTATTAATGGTTGATAAACTAGAATCAATTTCAGTCACTTGTGAACGGCCAAGAAGGTACGAAGAAAACCAGTCGTTAATGATGCCCCTGATACCATAGTGATTAAGTTTTTTCAGTAAGATTGAATGATTGACGGTCTCAAAGGCCTTTTTTAAATCCAAGAAGATGCCACAAGTAAATAATTTTAGGTCCATATGTGCCCTCAAATGAACAGGTACGACATTCACAACAAAAACTTACGAGGGCGCTAGTTACACTATGTTTGATGCAACACCCCGGGGTAGAGACATTTTACCGAACGCCGCATGACCGTGAAGTTCAGTGATTAAGGTGACAGGTGCATTTAGGTTCAATAGAGCGAACTGAACCGGAACTTTATAATCAACTCTGTTTCCAAACTGTAGTCACTAACCTTCAGAGTCATTCGGCGTAAAAGGCTCACAGAAAAGCTTTCTACTTAGAGATGCAGTTTAAATTTTAGATTATCAGCTGGTTTATAGCACGTGGGCTAGAAGCACTAATTAGGTCTAGTTATTGTCTGCGGTCACATCTATGACGTAACTAAAGTTTAACTTAAGTTAGTGTCAAGTTACGTGAAGTCATACCTAACTGTAGTTAGTGCTTTCGGCGACATTGCGGTCACACCACGCAGTTAACAACAGTTAGTTCTAATTAATGGTTTGTTGTTTTTGGTTTTTCCCTCGCTTCACGCTTGGTTTTTATTTTACATATTTATATATGCTCATCTCGCACGTGAAGAACACGAACCCTGCTTGGGTATAACTATAGTTAGTCTGTGTTGTTTTGGGTCACCGAGGCGTAAATTTTCTAACTATAGTCAGAGCGAACAGAGAAGTGGTCTCATTACCGAAATAACTAACTATAGTTATCCCCGTCTTAACTATAGTTAGTAGCCCAGATGTGACCGCAGCCATTGTCTTACTTAAAAGCCTGTTGTAAAGAATACTAGAGACACTTGTTATAAAAACGTTGTGAATAGCAGGAAATACTGGTCCATTAAGTTTAGGTTAAGTTCAGTATGGTCAAGTGATGCTGTTAGAAACTCTTTGACTTTAACTGCAAGAGACCTTTCTTGGTCATATAAGTCATTTGAGTCAATCCAAATCAACCATTTATAATAAGTAAGAGATAAATACCGAGAACTGTATTAGAGAGGTATTAATCCATATACATCGATATCACGAGGGCCGAGGGATGTATATGGATTAATACCGACGTTCGAGGTATTTATCAAACTTATTTCATGATATAAATTCCTGATAGATCTTTATAAAATGGAAAACACATGTGTCTGTCTTAATATTATCAAAATTGAATCGGTCCTTGTTTTACCAACATGATTCAATAATTAAGACCTTTTGTTCGAGAGAACAAAGCACTAGCAACGTGTACGCTCACACCTTCATCGATTAAAAAACAACGAAATTTACAAAATTGTGAGATTTTGACAAGGTTTCCTCAAGAGAGTTTGCTTTGTATTTTTTGGTTTATTTGTTCAGTTGTTTAGACCATTTCATCGGCGTGTTCGATTATTCAGTAGGACGATCCATATATTATGGAGTTCATGGACAGCGAGAAGAGCTTTTTCTGACTCAAAATTGTGTTGTGTTCCCGTTCATTAACAAACCGTGAAATTAGGCACTTTCGCGTTGCAGTCGTACAATGAGGGCAAAGAAAAGTAGAAAAAAGCGTGATGCGGTGCAAAGTTGTAGTTTTGCTACTATTTTTTTACTACTGTTTTTTTTTTGCGGAAGATACCGAACTGAAAAAAGCAGAGAACTCGATCAGATGTAGAGTTTACATTAAAATTCAAAGCAATAATATTTCAGCCACAGACTCAACTCGATTTCGAAACGAAACGAACTGTACATTATGGCAGAATAAGGTTGAATATAAAGTCGATTATGTGGCTTTGCAATAAACTTTACCTTGCCATATTTCGATTTAATAAGTAGTACGTAAGCTTACCTAAAGATCCCTTAAGTTAGGCAAAAGGCTCAATGAGAAAAGTACAGTGGCGCTTCTGTCTTCAGCTGGTCTTGTTATGTTGAAGGGAACTGTTGGTCATGTGACAATCCGTTATGTTTGAAGGGAGGGGAGGTTGAAGGACAGCTGCTTTGACCGACAGAAAAAACCTCTCCTCTCGGAACACCTCTGTCCCAGGATCTCAGTGGAGTCAGCAAGAGCCGTCAAAAACATATTTTCTACAGTCAACTGTCAAAAATGTTGATTAATACTTAGTAAGAACCAAAGGTTACGAAGGCAAACGCTGTTCTTTGCGTAATTCACCTGATAGATAATTAAAACACGCGCAGTAAACAAGTGATAGAAAGTCCGAACGCGCGTAACACGGATTGTGTTCGATGCATTTCATTCATTCTTAAACGCAGACTGCGAGCAGTCTCTTATTTTTCCGTTTGAGTCACAGTTCGAGAGCAGGCGTAAGGGGCGAGCGCATAATTTTACTTTTTCGCTTTCCGCGCGTGGCTCTGAGGAAAGAAGGGCGACCGCTTGGGGTCTATCTTAAACGAAGCTGGCTACATACGTGCGGAGCATGGAGCTTAGGATTGCTCCTCTTTTCGCCCGCAATTAACTGTCGAAAGGTTTCAAGGTATTTGACTGCGCTTTTCAAAAACACGCGAACTTTCAGGTCTACGAGAACATAGACATCTCTGTAATGCGCACACTTGATACTGTCCCATTGGAGTCCGTATTAAAGAGCTAACTGTATTTCCTATCTCTACAACATAGATATCTTTGCATTGCGCACACTTGATAATGTCCCTTTGGAGTCCGTATTAAAAAGCGAACTCTATTTCCTATCACTATAACATAGACATCTCT